ACATAAAGTAAAAATTTATGTTTGAGCCCTCAAATGTATCAATAGAGTACACTGATTTGAGAAACACTGACAAGGAATCAGATGGTCTCCTGGTTTCTCCTGTAGCAGAAAACTTCATTTCAATGACATAAATGTGCTTAAGAGATTGAAATATTTCTCTTATTTAAAGAATATGACTTTTTAAAAAGATTTGATTTTTTTTGAGAAGCAGAGTTACAAAGGGAGAAATAGAAATAGAGAGACAGAGACTTTCTTCTGTTGGTTTACTCTGCAAATGGCTGCAATGCTGGATCTGGGCCTGGGCTGGGGCTGGTCCCGGGCATGGGCATGTACCTGTCCCTGGACCAAGCCAAAGCCAGGAGCCAGGAGCTTCATGCAAATCTGCCACTTGGGTGTAGGGACCCAAGCAATTGGACCATTCTCTGCTGTTTTTTCCCTAAGCGTATTGGCAGGGAGCTGGATCAGAAGTGGAACAGTTGGGGGCTAAAACTGTCACCCATATGACATGCAGGCATTACAGGTAGGAATTTAGCCCTCTATGCTACCCCACTTGCTCTAAAAGTATGATTTTTTTAAAGATTTATTTTATTTTTATTGGAAAGGCAGATATACAGAGAGGAAAGACAGAGAGGAAGATCTTCCGTCCGATGATTCACTCCCCAAGTGAGCGCAATGGCCGATACTATGCTGATCCGAAGCCAGGAGCCTCTTCCAGATCTCCCACATGGGTGCAGGTTCCCAAAGCCCTGGGCCATCATCGACTGCTTTCCTGGGCTACAAGCAGGGAGCTGGATGGGAAGCAGGGCTGCCAGGATTAGAACCGGTGCCCATATGGGATCCCGGGCGTGCAAGGCGAGGACCTTAACCACTTGTGCCACTTGCGCCACCGCGCTGGGCCCAAAAGTATGATTTTTTACAAGAATAAGAATAGGCCCCTCTTTTTGAAATAAAGGTTCACAGGGTTTTTGGTATTTGCCGTCCACCTCATGGGATGTAGCCTCTACCTTTTTTCCATTGGAAATCACTATCATAATGAGCTACTCTTACTGGTAAGAGAGGAGTCTGTCAAATTTCTCCTTTATGATGAGTCAGGAAGCCTTAAAAACTGATCAAATAAAAGGTAATGCTCCTCAATGACACTGCTGTCAGAAATTAAGCATCTGTTTCCAGCAGCATGGCGAACTAAGTGCCTGGACCAACCTTCCCTTTAAAAGCAATCCAAAATGCTGGAAAGGTGAAGTCTTAAATGCATCCAGGCTCTGGCACAAAGGTGGAGAATGCTTAAAGCAAACACTAACTGAAAACCCATTGAGGTAAGCTGAGTTCTGAGGCTGGCCATAACCTTTGTGCTGTTTGCCAACCCAGGTGAGCTGTTATTTTCATGGCCTTATGATATTCAGGGCTCTGGAAGCAAAACCCTGACTCTGAGGGTGGAATAGTCTTCTTCGTTAATTTGGAGTCCCATGGGGCTTTGCCTTCTTAATAAAAGAGAAATCCTTTCTCTTCATGTCCCCGTGGAGTACAAAGAATATTATTAACTTCTGGAATAGTGTACAAATGAAGCAAAGAAAAACCTCACTGAAAATCTACTATCATAATCCAACCCTTAAAGTGGTTTGTAGCATGAATTCATATTCCTCCAGCCAAGTATTTAAAATGGTTTTGGAATGTTATAGCTCTCTCCTGGACCTGGAAAAAAATATAATCATCATTATCAAGAATTCCCTATGGCAAAGCTCTAATGAAGTATCTTATAATGAAGATTATAAACCATTCAAAGAAATGAGATGCATAGATAGAACCAAATCTGCAAATATTTCACATCTTGGAATTTTTATATGTAAAATATAAAAAGAGTACATTTAAAATGATCAATACAAGGTTTACAAATGAGGAAGAAAACAGAAGAAAAAGAATAAGAGGTTCTAAAAATGAATAGTAATTGAAATTAAAATTTGGATAGTTATAAAATGGACTTAATTGAAAAAGAAAAATTCATGGAATGAAAAGTAAATTTGAAGAACTCAAGAATGCAAGACAGGTTACAAAATGAAACATGTAAGAAAAGATGCAGATTTCCTTCAGGGGAATATCAGGTTTCAATAGCAACAATGGAAGTAGAAGACCCTTAAATAACATGAAAGCATACTTCAAAAACTTAGTGGAAAAATAGGATTAAAAGGTAAGTTTCTTCAGTTCCCTCTCCCCCCCACAAAAAAAAAGCTTTCAAATCAGTGCATAGATTTTTTCATGAACCTATTGAAGTCTCCTCATTTTATGCAAAAGTTGTAGAAACCTAGAATTCTAGAACTAGCGAAAGTAAGTTTTAGAACAAGAGCAAAATAAACAGATGCTTATATAATCCTGGAAAATTCACTTGACTTTTTCTTTATTTGAATAGAAGAAAAATCATCATAGATAGAAAGTGATGATCAAAAAGCCTGGCAAATAAATCAAGAAATTAATGGAAATGAACTGTGAGATTAAGAAAAGAAAAAGCTGTGGAGCAGATGTTTAGCTTGGTGATAAAGATACTTGCATCCTGTTCTGAAAGGCGTAGGTTCAAGCCTCTGTACATATATGCATATTTCATTAAAATATTCAGTTAGAATATGCCCATATCTCATATTACAATGCCTGGTTTGAATCTTGGATTCTCAGCTTCAAGCTGTCCCCTCAAGTCCATGAGTCCATGAGACCAAGATTAACTTTAGATATTGGGTCTCTGTCTCTTTCACGTAGGGATGATCTCTCCCTGGCTTCCAAATAAAGTGAAAATGAACAGTAAAAACATTCAACTATATAGAGTCTGGAACTGAGACTACAAGAAAATGAAGGGGAAAATGTTGACCATAAAATGATAGACAATACCCAGGCAAATATCGATTGGAAGAAACCTGGTATAGAATTACTAGAAATAAAAGAATTAATACACAGAAGCAAATGGCTCAATTGCCAGAAATAGATCTTTTAAAATTTGCATGTAACTAATAATCATAGTCATGAAATAAAGCTAAACAGATATAAGAGAAAACTGATTAATTTCACCAATATGATAGGAAATTATATGACCTTATAAAGTAGACGTTTTCTTTTATACCCTATCCCCCCTAAAAATAGGGACTATAGAAACTCAAATAGGGCTTATTGAAATTTAACAAGCTCAGTCTTATGAGATATGTTTTATCTACTAATAATAGAAATGTCAGCAGAGGGGCCCGGCACGATAGCGTAATGGTTAAGGTCCTCACATTGAATGCCAGGATCCATATGGGCGCCAGTTCTAAAGAAACTGGAAAAGAAAAGCCATCTATTCAGGAAAGGTATTTGTATTTTCTATAAGGATTCGTATGTGTATTTGTTAGCTTTTCATTACTTTATCACTTTAAAATACTTGAGAGGAGGATACGGGGAAGGAGTGTGTTACTTTCAGCTTATAGACTGACAGTTGAAGATCAGACATTGATAATCTTCATCTTTGTTTAATGTGGTATCTGATGAAACTTGTCAGAATGACATGTGCAGAAGAACATCCCATGGTGAACTGGAAAGTAGAGAGATAAGATGGGTCTAACTTGACTTAAAGAGTCAACCCTTTGATAAGTAAGCCACAAATGACCTAAAGACTTTCAGGTGGACCCACTACGTGCTTCAATAATTAGATATTTTCTCCACCCTAACCCACCAACCCTTAGCATTAATCCAGCTGTGACTCCTGATGCTAACTTATACTGATCTTTCAACAGCTGGATTGCTACTGTCACTGTTGAGGTCCTGGGTTGAGTTCCAGCTCCTAGCTTCAACTCCATCTTTTGTGATTGAGAGTAAACCAGCATATCAGAGTGTGCCCTGTGTCTGTCTCTGTACCTTTCACTTCACTTTAAGTAGTCAGTCTTTTCAAATAAATAAATAAATGAATGATACTTTATCAAATTCATTGAAGCAAAGAGAGCTGTTTGGTGGTTAGAAGATGGTGAGGACAGGATGGTAGACAAGAGTCCAAAGAAATGTTAATCAAAGGGTACTAAAAAGTTTCAGTTACACAGGAGGATTAAATTCTAGTAACTTGTTGTACAACCTGGTTACTATAGTTAATAATGTTTTGTATTTTGAAAATCCCAGAAAAGCATGTTTTGGTGTGGGTATTTAGTAAGTAAGATACCTGTATCCCACTTTAGAGCTCACAAGTTGTTAAGTTCCCAGTTTTGACACCTGACTCCCAACTTCTTGGCTTGGGTTTGCAATTTCTAGCTTCACTTTCACACTTCCTGTTGTGGGCATCTGGGAAGAGAATCAGGGGATGTCTGTCTCTCTGTGCCACTCAAAAGTTTTTAAAAAAGAAGAAAAAATATATATTTTAAATGGTTTTGCCATTTAAGAGAAATTATATGTAAAGTGATAGATACTTTAATTAGCCTTTCTACAGTGTACATGAGTTATATTATACTCCATAAATATACATAATTATTTATAAATTAAGAAGAAATAGTAATAAAATACTTAAATGCCATCTATTTTTAGCATGATTTACTATAAATTGTTAGGGATGGCTTCATCAATGTAGAGAAAGTATCAGATTTGAAGAAAAGTTTTATTTGCAGTTGTTTCAGTTATATTTTCAGTTTGATTTTCAGTATTGAACTACAAGTATGAATGTTATAGTGAAGCTGTAGATCTTTAAAGTATTATAAAGCAAAGGGATAATGCATTCATTTTTCATAATACTTACGTGATTACTGTAGACTGTGTGTTTTACTAAGTATAATATTTACTTTTATTAATATCATTCATATGTATTTGCTTTACACCCAATGTAAATAACATGAAATGAATTTTGTTCCTTGTATTGTAACCATTACTGTTCATGTTACACAATATTGTGCTTAATTATTTGAGATAATTGCAAAATGTCTTTCATTTGGGGACATTTAATATTCTCTTTCCCAGAGTTTAGGAATCTTAACTATTACATTGACTGATAATTCTTTTCTTTCTTGCAGCACTATAAGAGTAAATGGGTCCAGTAATTGGAATGACTTCAGATAAAAGAGCTGAAACGCCAGGAGCTGAAAAAGTTGCAGGCTTAAGCCAGATTTACAAGATGGGAAGTTTGCCTGAAGCTGTAGATGCTGCCAGGCCAAAGGCAACCCTAGTGGACAGTGAGGCAGCTGATGATGAACTGACAAACTTGAATTGGCTTCATGAAAGTACTAATCTTCTAACAAACTTCAGCCTTGGAAATGAGGGTCTTCCGATGTATGACATTGAGGGAGATGATGTGCCATCCTTTGGACCTTCTTGCTACCAGAACCCAGAAAAAAAATCGGCAACCTCAAAGCCCCCATACTCCTTCAGTCTTCTCATTTATATGGCTATTGAACACTCTCCAAATAAATGTTTGCCTGTCAAAGAAATTTATAACTGGATTCTGGACCGCTTCCCATATTTTGCTACTGCACCAACAGGCTGGAAGAATTCTGTTCGACATAATCTGTCCCTGAATAAATGTTTTCAGAAAGTGGAAAGAAGCCATGGAAAGGTCAGTGTTTATGAACTGTTACTGTATTTGATGAAATAGGGAAACTGCCTTTAAAATATGGCAAAATCAAGAAAGAAAAAAAATGTCAAAGTAAATAGCTTGGGGTTAATTTGCTTTCTTTGAGATGTTTTAAAATGTAAGTATTGACAGAAACCTAGCAATATTAGGTTGTCTGCCGTAAGTACATAAGTATTTTTAATGTTTCAATTTCTTATTAATTTTTGTAATGTTTACTTAACTGTATTAGTGCATATTTCTATTTACTCAATATAATCTGCCTTAGAATAAGAATGTGGATCATTTACATTGATGTAATTAAGATGATTGGGCTTAAATCTGTCACCTTACTGTTTATTTTCTATTTTTCTTATCTTTTCCCTGCTTTGCCTTCTTTGTAGTAAAATTTATTTTTTATAAGAATCATCTTTTTTATTTTACAGAGTAGTGCTGACTTAAATTGAACACATTTGGGCACCATAGATTTATGGCATAAAAAAATAATTGTATCAGAATGGGCATCTGAAAAATAAAGTCATGTAATAGCTAGAAAATATTTTTCTGTCTGATCACTTTTAAGTGTTACAAATCCTGAGAATGTTATGCACTGAAAAATTAGTTCCTACTTTATAATTAAATCTTGCTTGGAAATAACCCTTTAAAAAAGTTTTGAGGGCTTGGCATGGTAGCCTAGCAGATAAAGTCGTCACTTTGCACACACCGGTATCCCTTATGGGCACCGGTTCTAATCCAGGCAGCCCCACTTCACATCCAGCTCCCTGCTTCTTTTCTCCTCTCTATATATCTTTATATCTGACTTTCCAATAAAAATTTTAAAAACCTTTTAAAAAGTTTTGAGGTACAGATCACCTTTGTGTTAAGCATTAATCTTGTATTTTACAAGAATGTAAAAAAATATAACAAATAATTATGGTTCAGTGGCTCTTCAAACATGTTAATCAGGTTAAAGAACACACTGTTCTATAAATTCCTAGAAGTTGGGGTTCTCCATTGCAGCTGCCATCTACTGTTTTTCATTGATCTGCTAGTTGATGTCTTCTATTAAGTGAGCTCCTTATCTCCAATTTATGTTTAAATGGCAAACATCGCTGTAGTTTTTCTCTTCAACGCAGCCCAACAAGAATTCCCAAAGAGCCATGACTTATTGGTGTGAACCTGACAGCAACCAGATAGTCTGCATTTAGCTCCGGAACCTCTATGAAACTTCTCATTACCATTTCCAGTTCTTCCACAGAATTGGGCTTTCTGGGTCCTGGATAGTTGAAAATCAAGTCCTAAACCTCTAGTACCTTCTCTTGCATGATCCGGGCAGTTTCCTGTTCAAAGATGCTGTGAGCCACAGGCCTGTGTTCAGTGTGCAGGAGAATAGCCCAGACATTGGCTCCATCTTCACAGTTCACTACACGTGATGATTGTCTAGAGTCAGATTTTTTATGATACAATTTTATCTCCTTTTGTTTTGTTTCTGTTTTTTTTTGTGTGTGGTTCTCATGTGAGTTTCAACATATATCTAATTTTTCATGGTCAGATTTAAAAATGATATTGGCTCTTCTGAGGACAAGTTATCTATCTTAAGCTTTTTACAGAAAAAGTTGTCCTGCAATATCTTATTTGAATCAGTTCTTTTGGGATAGAATACTGTCTTAATATTATCATTATTCATATGTGCTGTCAGTAATTTTCAAAATTGGTTATTGTTTTATTGTTTCTGGAAGGCAGACTGACACACATGCAGAGGCATATAGTTCTCACATGCAAATGCTTGCAACACCTGCAGCTGGACCAGGCTCAGTCTAGGATCCTACAGCTGAATCCAGGTCTCCCAAATGGGTGGACAGGGACCCAAGTATTTAAAGCCATCACCTCCTGAACCTTCCAGGGCACACATTAGCAGAAATCTGGAATCAAAGTGAATCCAGAACATAGTGCCTCTGATCTGAAATACAATAACTCAGTTTGGGTTTCCCACCTGGTTGACAGGGAACCGCTGCTTCCCAGTGTATACACTGACTGGGAGCCAGAGCTGCAGCTGAGACTCAGACCCAGGCACTCCAATTTGGATTGCATGCGGCTCATCTAACTGCTAGGCAATAATATCAGCCCCTCAGTTCTTAATATATATAAAGGAATCTCCCTGTCATTGGTGTCAAGAAACAATTGTTTCTCCAAAGAAAGAACATTTAAATGATAGAAAACAAAAATTACTATTAGAATTCTCTAGTTCTATTGTGATGGTTCCAGTCTTGAAATTTTATTGATTAAATTTATACTTAGGAAATGCTTATAAGCTTTGAAATAGGTTTTGGGTTGAGACATATGTATGTAGGGAGAGAAATTCAGTCCTCTGTGAGACACGGTACATAAAGCAAGTGAATCTATGGGCCTAGCACTATGGTGCAGCTCAGGCTGGTTTCTGCCTGCATAGAGAGTGAAACAGCAGATGAAAGATTTATCTTGTTCTCTTTCTCTCTCCCCTTTCGCGGCAACTCTCTCAAATAAATAAATCTGAAAAAGTAAATTTATTGCAAGTCAGTTATATTTATGGTGAACTTTTTGAGATGGTTCCTGAATTAATGGAGTTTTTTTATTTTTAATAATGAGGCAGAGGCAGACAATCATATACAAAAGAAATAAAGTATTGGTAACATGAGTAAAATGCTGTCTGATCAAGAAGAGCAGATGATTGATTATTACTAGTGGATTGGGCCAAAGTTTATGAAAGAGTTGGCTTTTGAAATAAGCTTTGAGAAAAACAAGCAACAAAAACAGGCAACAGTAAATATAAAGAATTAATATATTCTGCATGCAACTTAGGGGAGTCAGCATGTTCTCTGTGACTTTGGAGTACAAAATCACAGAGTGGAAAACAGCCTAAAGGATGGTAAATTGGTTAAGTTACTTGAACTTCAGTTTTATGGCAAAGTCAGTAAGGCTTTAAAAGCCATCAGTTTTCCCTGTATTTGACTTGTGACAATGTAAATAGTAGAGCAATACAGTATCTAAACAATGTTTAAATTCTTTTCCCAAGTTACAGTCAGTGACAGTGTATAAATAGATAGCACTCAATAAAGATGTGGCATGTGACCCATTACTGATCACTGCCCTCCTTATGTCTAAAGTCATTGACTCTCTGTCTTACCGTTTTTTAATATTTATTTTTATTGCAAAGTCAGTATATAGAGAGGAGGAGAGACAGAAATATCTTCTATCTGATGATTCACTCCCCACGTGACTGCAATGGCCAGTGCTGCGCTGATCCAAAAGCCAGGAGCCAGGAACTTCCTCCAGGTCTCCCACACAGGTGCAGGGTCCCAAAGCCCTGGGCCGTCCTCAACTGCTTTCCCGGGCCACAAGCAGGGAGCTGGATGGGAAGCGGGGCTGCCGGGATTAGAACCGGCGCCCATATGGGATCCTGGGGAGTGTTCAAGGTGAGGACTTTAGCTGCTAGGCCACAGCGCCGGGCCCCTGTCTTACCAATTTAAAACCATATCTTGAGGTATGATTAGCTTTCAACATTCATCTTTGCTTTGATTAATTTGGCACTATGCTTAGTTCTTCATTTTCTGGACTCTGCTTCTCTTCTACCATGCAAGTTGTAAATTTTAGTGTTCACTATCTTTGGTTTCATTTCCATGGTTTAATTTAATGCCTATATTCCAGTGAATCCCACATATTTCTGTAAAAATCAGACATAAATATACAACTAGACATTAGATGTAGAGGTGTCTCAAATTCATTATATAAAAAATTGAACTTTATTCCTCTCTCTCCTTCTAGAATCTACCTAGGATTCTAAACTAGAAATCTTAGTCATCTGGGATACCAGCCTTTCCTTATGCTCAATTATATGACTGCTAAATTTGAAAGACAAATCATCTTGATGAACATCCTTATTTTATGACTAGGGAAAAGAGACCCACATAATTGGCCATTGCTGCAAAACCTGTCAAAACCAGGATTAGAGGCTAGAAAATACAGTACCCAAAAATACCTACAAGTACCTAGAAACAGGTTTTTGATTGTGGTGGTTTCTTTCCATTTCTACCATAACATTAACCTGGTTCACATCTTCCTCATTTCTCATCAAATTGAAGCTATTATATAAATAAAATAGTAGTCAGTTGGAGGATTAAAAACATGTGTTTTTAGTGTTGGTTGTATAATTTGATGAAGTTTGTGTCTTTGAGCCTTCAATTTTTGTAAACAATATGTTTTATAGAAAAGTAACTTATATGGCAAATAAAAGCCTTTTTTAAAGATTTATTTGTTTTTACTGGAAAGGCAGATTTACAGAAAGGAGAGATGGAGATAAAGATCCTCCATCCCTGGCTTACTCCCTACATGGCCACAACAGCCAGAACTGAGCTGATTCAATGCCAGGATTCAGAAGCTCCTTCTGGATCTCCCACAAGTATAGAGTCCTATGGTTTAATACTTTTTTTAAAAATGTTATTTTATTTTTATTGCAAAGTCAGATATACAGAGAGGAGGAGATACAGAGAGGAATATCTTCTGTCCAATGATTCACTCCCCAAGCAGCTATAACGGCCGGAGCTGAGCCAATTTGAAGCCAGGAGCCCAGAGTCTCTTCCTCCAGGTCTCCCACATAGGTGCAGGGTCCCAAGGCCATCCTCCACTGCTTTCCCAGACCACAATAGGGAGCTGGATGGGAAGCGGGGCCGCCAGGATTAGAACCCACATCCATGTGGGATCCTTTAGCAGCAAGGCTACCATCCTGGGCCCTGATCTTTTATTGTTAGACTGTATTCACCAAGCAGTACTTGTTAAGTTGTAACAGCTTCATTATGGAAGATATACCATGCCAGAGACCTATTGCTGTTAAGTGTTTCAGTGTTCTGTCCTGACCAAATATCTGTTGAAGTATTTTGCAATAGTTGCAGTTTAGCAATTCACTTTCAGAAAAAAAAAAAAATTCTTTGAAGGGCATAGTTCAGAGAGAGAGATATCCCATCTCTGATTCT